TCCCCCTGCTTGTGTTCCCTCTCTCGCTGTGTCTCTCTCTGTCAAATAAATAAATAAAATCTTAAAAAAAAAAAAAAGAATACCCTTGTTTTTAGGAAATACAGACTGAAGTATTTAGGTGGAAAAAAGGCAAAATGTCTACTTCTCTCTCAAATGGTTCAGGTAAGGGTGGGAGCAATGAAAAGACAGACAGATAAAGAGGTAGATAATTAATGACAAAAGCAAAGGGGGCAAAATGTAAACAACTGATGAACTTGGGTAAAAGATATATGGGAGTTCCTTATACTAGTTGCAACTTTTCTCTAAGTTTGAAATTATTTCCATTTTGCAGTTCTAAGGAAAGAATGAAAAATGAAGAGAAAGAAAATACCAGCATAAAAACATATAGAATAGGTCATCCTGGAAATAATACTGGATGTCTTTTTTAAAAAATGCTATCTTGGGATGCCTGAGTGGCTCAGTCAGTTAAGCGTCTGCCTTCGGCTCAGGTCATGATCCCAGGGGCCTGGGATCGAGTCCCACATTGGGCTCCCTGCTCAGTGGGGAACCTGCTTCTCCCTCTGCCTGCCGCTCCCCCTGCTTTGTGCTCTCTCTCTCTGACAAATAAATATAAAATCTTTTAAAAAAATGCTATCTTGTCAACATGCACAAAAAATCAGACAACAATAACTGAGTCAAAAGTTGATTCTTTATTAAAATATGAAGACATTTTAGGAATTCCTTAACCAATTTATTTTGCCTGGGTACATAGACTAGTTTAGTCTAGGAAGTGAATGCCACTCAGGCGTCCCAAGATAGCATTTTTTTTAAAAAAAGACATCCAGTATTATTTCCAGGATGACCTATTCTGTATGTTTTTATGCTGGTATTTTCTTTCTCTTCATTTTAGAGTGATTTTTCCACCTTTATTTTTACACTCCTGAATATGTTGATAAGAAACATGTATTTTGGGGGTGCCTGGGTGGCTCAGTTGTTAAGCGTCTGCCTTTGGCTCAGGTCATGATTCCAGGTCCTGGGATCGAGCCCCACATCGGGCTCCCTGCTCCGCGGGAAGCCTGCTTCTCCCTCTCCCACTCCCCCTGCTTGTGTTCCCTCTCTCA